GGAGCACGAAATTTCAGCAAAGGACAGCGAGATCCCGGCGAACTTCAGCACAAAGGAGAAGCCGTTCGAAGGATCTGAAGCCCGTACGTCCGTTCCTTGAGATTAGGCTTTGTTTTAATCTCGAGAAGAGCCCTGATTTCGCTTTGTCGATTTCAGGACTTCAAGCAAATACCCCCTTGGTGAGGTAGAAGCTCTGCCCAATTTCCCATCAACCGGATCTGATTCGCGGTCGTCCACGGATTAACCCCGACACCGGCAAAGAACCCACGCAAGCAAGAGCCGATAAACAGATCTTGTGTTTATTTTCAAGAAAGTTGTAATCTTTTTCTTTTGTTATTTGAATTCATTTGTAACGCTTAAAGTTTAATGAAATCAATGACTAAGGTGACTTTCGACGAAAACAAACTGGCGACCACAGTGGGAGCCGACAGCCTTTCTGCGAAGGCTGACGTGTCGCAACCTCGGATCCCGATCCCGGTTGAAACGGAGGTCGAATATGAGTTCGACCAGCAGAAGTACGAGGAATACTTGTCCTCCTCCTCCAGATCGGCCTCTCCTCACAGATCCAGGAAGGCCTACTCCAGGAAGACCCGCTGGACTTCAACTGCAGAAGCCCAAGAAGAAGATCTTCCCGCCACCGCTGCACCCGTGGCTTACAACGCCCCGTCGGCATCCGACGAGGCTAAAACTACAGATCTGAACCCCTTAAGCAAAGGGTCGACTGTTGAGGATGTGCCCACTCTATCAAAGAGAGCACGTCAGAGGCGACGTCAACGCCTCGCACGTCAACTGGCCAAAGCCTTGGAACCAGTTGATGGAGTCCGCTATGAGGCGGATCTGAAAAGTAGAAGGCGCCAACCACCACAACAGAGAGTGGACAGCCCCTCCTCTTTTAAACCAGTGAAGAACGAATGGGTTCGCGTCAAAAGGAACCGATCAACTCTTCAAGAGCGGATTCACAAACGCCGTGCATTGCTTGCACAAGCAAAAATTCTTGTGCAAGAGGCCAAGAAATTGGAGAAAGAAGGAGTGGAACATAAACCACAAAGACTGCAGCAAGTATGGAGGCCAAAGTCTAAAACGGCGGCCAAAAATGTCGAGAAACGTCATGCACCGCCGCCCCCTCTCGTCCAGCCGCCCAGCCGAGCGCCACCGCCTTCAGCCTCCAGCACCGCCTGACGCCGCCTCCAGTCACCGCCTCCACTAGATCCGCTGCTCCGCTCATCCGTCGAGCCCTCGCCGAGATCCACCAACCCTCGTCCTCCCCTCGGCCACGCAAACAGCCCCCGCCCCTCGCCAAACGGCCACCACACCCCGAGCAGCCCCGACGACGCCGTCGAACGCCTCCTCCTCGCCGGCAACCGCCCAACAGAACCGCCATTCCTCCTCGCCAGCAGCCGCTCGACAGATCCGCACCGTCCCGTAGGCAAGATCCCGAACCTTGATTATTTCATTTTAATTCTTAGCTTTATCGTAAATTATTATGTGACTCATCATTCAATTTTTAGATCTGTTATGAGTTAATTGATTAGATTAGTCTGTGATATATTATTATCTGCGTGGGATTGCTTGACATGAATAGATGTGTGAAAGCTTGTTGTTATCACCTAGTTGTTATCCAATAGGAGAGACTGTACGTGAAGACGACTTCTGTTAAAAGTATGATTTATAAGCGTGCTTCAAAGCATGGCTATACTTGCTCGACATCGATATCCCGATGTGAGGAGTCCCGAGTTCCCTCGATATCGATATCCCGGTATGAGGTTTCCTTGATTATTATTATTATAGCATTGTTTAGACGATGCACTCTTGATCGGACGTGTTGTGGGTCACGGTTATGTTCATAGTTTTACAGAAGTCGTTCCACGGTAACTCCGTGGCTAGTGCACAATATTTCATGTACAGTTGCTTAATTAATTTGATAACATGGGGTTATAAAGGGGAATTGGACGGAGAATATAGCATGTATATAAACGGGCACAGCGCTTTCTTGTTATCGTGATATCGTGAGTGTTATGTACATGGGCCAGAGGGCCAATACTTGACTTGAAGGCGGCCCCCGGACGACTTTACGGGGACCCGATTATATACATCAAAATATTCTTTCCCAATTCAAATAACATGTAAAACAAGAATAATATGCTTGCGTGCTTTTGGTGGACTTTGTAGTTTTGTTGAGATGTAGACCAGTATTTCTTTTCATACATAGATCGGGGTTAATATTTAATTATCTACAACTTGAGACATATGGTATATACATGAGGGTTTCCTTGTTTGGATTATTTTATCTACAACTTGAGACATATGGTATATACATGAGGGTTTCCTTGTTTGGATTATTTCGCTCGACGTACAACGTCTCATGTTGTAGGTTTTTAGGTATTAATTTCATCTATTGTATGTCCCTGGTACTTGGATGATTAGACTGATCGCTAGCTACATGATCCCGTTACCTGATCGATTCTGGATGTTTTATGTTATCATGATTTAGTAATGTTTTCATGTTGATTTGTGGATTCAGCTAGGAGATCGCCAGGAGCCGGAAGATCCTCAGCAGGAGTGCCTTGTAGACGGAGCAGAAGAAGGAGTCGAAGCCTATTCTTGATGGTTCCACTTTACTTTTGTAGTTCATTCTTTTTCTATTGATCGATGTATTTTTGTATCTCTCCAGTATTCTTTTGTTCAGTTTTGTATAAGGGCATGTTGACCCGAATTTTATGTCTCGGATGTTATCCCGTTTGTGATATGATATTTCCTTGTTCTGAGTTGTCTTTATATTCTTGCTATTGTGATCGGGGACCTGTGCCTTCGTATTGTTTTATTTCCAGACGCTTAGCGTATTAGATTGAGAAGACGGGGTCTAGCACTTATCTCTTCTCAGTCTAATACGTCGCGGGCTTGCTCGCGTCCCGATTCCCCGGTATTTTGGGAAGCGGGGCGTGACATTTCCCATCAACCGGATCTGATTCGCGGTCGTCCACGGATTAACCCCGGCACTGGCAAAGAACCCACGCAAGCAAGAGCCGATAAACGGATCTTGTGTTTATTTTCAAGAAAGTTGTAATCTTTTGTTCTTTTGTTATTTGAATTCATTTGTAACGCTTAAAGTTTAATGAAATCAATGACTAAGGTGACTTTCGACGGAAACAAACTGGCGACCACAGTGGGAGCCGACAGCCTTTCTGCGAAGGCTGACGTGTCGCAACCTCGGATCCCGATCCCGGTTGAAACAGAGGTCGAATATGAGTTCGACCAGCAGAAGTACGAGGAATACTTGTCCTCCTCCTCCAGATCGGCCTCTTCTCACAGATACAGGAAGGCCTACTCCAGGAAGACCCGTTGGACTTCAGCTGCAGAAGCCCAAGAAGAGGATCTTCCCGCCACCGCTGCACCCGTGGCTCATAACGCCCCGTCGGCATCCGACGAGGCTAAAACTACAGATCTGAACCCCTTAAGCAAAGGGTCGACTGTTGAGGATGTGCCCACTCTATCAAAGAGAGCACGTCAGAGGCGACGCCAACGCCTCGCACGCCAACTGGCCAAAGCTTTGGAACCAGTGGATGGAATCCGCTATGAGGCGGATCTGAAATATAGGAGGTGCCAACCATCACAACAGAGAATGGACAGCCCATCCCCTTTCAAACCAGCGAAGAACGAATGGGTTCGCGTCAAAAGGACCCGATCGACTCTTCAAGAGCGG